TTCCTTACAGAAAAAGCCAATATTTGGCTAGAGACTGTGTAACAGATACACAGCAGTAGTAATCACACAGTGAGGACTATACTCTTAGCTAGCAAGTATCTTTACATGAAACTTGCTTTATCTTTCTTAAGGCCCTTAATGTAACGGAGGGAGAGCAATGTATAGAAAAAAATATTTTTAACTCCCATTTGAGATTACACTATTCTGTGAGAGTTGCAAGTACAATAAAGTCAAGACTGTGATACTGAGAGGAAAATACCAGTGAGGTCTTTAAGTCATTATCTTCTGGTGAATGTGTGCTAAACTGTTTACTTCCAATAGCTATTGTTTAAGACAGAATAAATCTTACTCTGATCCAGAAATGAATACACCAAGTTTATGTATCACCTGGTATAAAAATTTCCTCCCACTGAAACACTGCATTCATGGTTCAAGGTGACGTTATGAACATTAACAAACAGAATTCTTACTGCGTAAGAGTTAGATGCTAAAGACCACGCTTGGAGTCTTTGTTTTCCATAATCAGTCTGTCTATGCATGAGATCAGCATTTCCAAATAACTAGATCTGTACCTATAAACATTTCTCCTCAATAGCCAGTGTCATTATTCAACTAATCCTTCCAAAATGAGCCTCTATCCCTAACAGCTAAGAACTGAGGGTGAAGGCTATTACAAGCTCCCTGCTATGAGATGTGTTTATGTTTATAAGTTTAAGAGCCTTTAGAAATCATCTTCTCTTTCAGCACAGAGCCCTGCTGTAATAAGCTTTCTGAAAAGAAAATATATCTCAAAAACATTACTATCATAGTTGAAGAGATTATAGGAAGACATCACAAACCATGAGGACTGAAAATATCACCTAAGTAAAAAATAAACTTCCTTTGTAAGGACAAACCAGGAGGAATCATTAACATTTGGTCTCAGCTGTGATAACACCATTAATGATAAAACTCCTTTGATAATCTTCAGAATACTACCTAACATTTCACACTGAAAGTGAACAGGAGACTAGCAATTGCTGAATTTGTTAATGCTGCCCCTGCGAGTTTGTCACTATAACTGAGAAACATACAAAATTTATATAATTCCATAAGCATTTCTAGTGACAAATTACCTCTGTTACAAAATACATTCTCCTCTAGAGAGCACACATTGTATCTTTTCATTGAAAGTAGATATTCAAGAACAGACACTGACTTCTTCTTTTGCTTAATAGAGAATTCACAGGCTAATGTTCCTTGAGGGCTTATCCTGAGTTACCCATATACAGCTTGTAGGAAGTCTGCCTCTTAAAACAGAAGCAATGGTAAAGAACTGGCCCTAGAAGCCCCTTTTTTCAATAAACTGACACTACACTATCCATAGTGTTTTTGTTGTACATGGGATTCTCTGTCTACAATTGAAGAGGAAATGGTTTTACAAATAACTAGGTTCTCTACAGCTCACTGCTGTAGAGGTTCCTGATTTCAGATTCTCTTCTGCTTGACAAACTGATGTCTGACCTCCAAAGACCAAACATGAGCCCTGCCTGACAAACACGCACAGAAATATCAGACAACCTGCTCTTTGTCTAACTTGGTTACAGGGTTACAGGTTAAAAGACCTAAAGAAATCCTTCCTTGAAAGAAAATAGAGTTCCAACACCGAGCTGAATGTTCAGCAAATTATTTCATATTGCCAGTCATGCTGAAATAAAAACTGATTTCTTGCAGATAAAAACAAGTTAATACACTGGAAATCTGAGAAAGACCAAAAATCTTCAGAAGTTAAAAAGGAAGACAAATAAAAATCAGAACCACATCAGGGAAGGACATTCCCCTGTGGCCCACAACTGGCAGACCTGGTTTTACTTCCACTTCTAAAAGCAGACTGAGGTTTTCCTTTTAATTAAGCCTTACATGGCAGCAGAGAAGACTTAGATCCATTAGTTATAAAGTGAAAGGCAGACATTTAAAAAAAAAACCTTCAAATTATGTCTTCAAAAAGCTCTTAAAAATTATTATATATATACACTATTGATAAGAGTAAAACATCAGTTTCTCATAGCTTTCTTATCTGAATAACACAAATCAGTATCTCTTACAGACAAACTTACTTCCTAGAGTTTTGGGTTTAGTTTTATCATCAGTGTCTCGGCAAAGAGAGGTAGAGCTAAATTTTGTGAACCTCTCTAATTAGATTCTAGAAACATTCCATCCTCATTTTGCTTCTATGTGTATCTTTGAACAAGTTGTAATGTCTTCTATCAGCTATTCAATTTTTATAATTTTATTATTTCTGAAAAGCAACAAAAAGCATTATGAATATTTACTGCTTTTTTGGTCTTGCTAGTGTTACATATGCAAAGCAATGAAAGGGAGAGTTGAAATCTTTCTTCTTCTGCATCAACAGATCATTTAATAAATTCCAGAGCAGCTACAGTTGTGCAACCCTCTTAAACACAATGGAGTTATAGAGGCATAACCAGAGGCTTAATTTGGCCACCGGCATTTTTCTTACTCATGCTAGAGAATAAAAAGGAAAGCACCCAGTCTGATTTTAGGCTGAGAGCTGGGAGAGAAATGCATCTTTGTACCTTCCTGAAGGTACTCGTTATGGAAGCGCGTGCTTTCGGAGTCACCAATAACACATGAATGTAACAGAGCTCAACACTGACTGATGCAGTTGTAACCAAACTTTTCGGCTGCCTATGTCACTTCTCAACATCAGGACGGTCCTGTGTCTATCATGCAGGAATGTACAGTCCTATACCCCACAGGTTCCAAATTCAGTGCACATAAATAGCAACTATCTTGTACACAAGGAGCACGTTTGATGGTTTCTCAATGACTGAGGCTCACTAAACATACACACGCTGCAAATCCAACACTCGCAGAAGTCTCAGCTATGAAACACCTATGCCAAAAGAATATGCTGCTCGTGCACACAGTTATCACCCACATGTACTTCTGTTGCCCAGACAGGAGCTGAGCAGCAGCACCTCAATCACCACTCCACCACTGGATATCACCTTGCCTGAGCAATCTTCATCTTCCCCTTACATGACCAGCATCAAGTCACAACATGACAGGAAGAGACCAGCAGGACGTTAAGAGCCGAGTGGGCTACACGTACATTCACTTTTCTGACAGGCTGTAGATTAAGCATGTCCAATCCAGATCTTATGCATGTATACAGAAGATATGACTGTATCTCTTAGAAGCTGTTTTTTAACAAGTAAGTATGTTTTGACAGCTGGCAAACTAGAGCAAGGAGAAGTTCCCTACAAGCTTCCTGTAAAACTCCAAAAAGGTGAGATGCATACTGAACCTAGATGTGCTTATCAATATCCCACAGTTCAATCACAGGCTATGGTTCCACATTGAGAAACCAAGCAAATTTGAATACCATTTCCATTAGTATTTAAAAACATGATCATATCAGCTATGCAAGTTCAGATACTCCATCAGTCTTAGCTCATGGTAAGATGACATACCCATCATGTCTACTTTTCTTAGCAGATAAATCATCTCCTGCTGCAGGTCTCCTCTTTTTCCTTGGAGGCATCACTTTACTAAAGCAGTCTGATGAACTGCAAGACCGGAGACTTCCTACAGAGGGAATTAAAAACACCAGTACAGAAAATGAAACTGTTGCAGACCAGTTAAACTGTGTCCACTAATAGGCATATTACAAAGGGAAGGAAAGGGAGGAAGTTAGTAGATTTTAAAAATACAAAAGAAATGGTCTCCTTTCAATAGCAAAATCCATCTCACTATTACGTGGTGCTCTATGACCAGACTTCAGTTAAGGTCAAAAGTACCATACCAAAGTGTAGAAAATGTACAGTAGTGCTAGTGCTACTTCAGGCTAACAAAAGGCAAGAACTGAATAAATATTTAAGTCCTCAAAAAGGCATCCTTACTTTTGCTAATTTATTCAAATCAGAACTTCTGAGAGTTTTTCCATTACTTTTTGAAATACAGATAAGACTCAGAAACTAGAGCACCTACCTCTAGAAAACAGAATCTTTTTCATTTTAAGCCCCAAATTTTTTCTGATACAGAGAGCAAGGGGTAGGAAAGGTTTTGTTTGCTTGCTCTTCGGTTTTGGGTTTTTTCATTTGTTTTCTTTCTTTGGGTGAGGGGGGCAGAGGGAGACACATTCAGTAACCACCAGGGGAAAACAGTAAGTGGCTGACTGTGTCATTTGGACTGGACAGTTCTCAAAGAATGAGGGTCCGCCAGTAGGAAACAGCCAGTTCAAGTCACTGATGCAAATCCAGTGGCGGACTTTCCCCCCCTTCTCTCAGCTACACACTCCTACATCTCAATTTTGTCAGCTCTGGTGGCTCTTCAGGGTGCCAATCCAGCTCACCAAACCTGTAGATAATTAACCCATTGAAAAAAAGAAAAACAACTTTCTGTACATTAGCATAAGAGTGAGCACAGGACCAGCTCTTTAGACCACAGCAAGGTGTTAAATTGCCTTTGCTGTCTCTAGGCTAACACTCCAGGCAAAATTTTGTCCTGGTTTCAAATACTGCAGACCACATGGACACCTGAAAAAGGTGTAAAAGCAGCTCAAAGAGCTATTGAAGTTTTAAGTGCTACACAGAGAATTTTAACAGGAAAGGAAGAGAAAGGTGAGGTATAAAAATCCAGACAAAAAGCAATGCCAAAGAAACTTGCAAGGAAATAGAACTCCAGCACGCCTAAACTACCTTCTCTTAGCTTCAATAGCATACAAGTTTAGCTATGCTTTATTAAGATGCCCACAAAATCTTTTATGTTAAATCACAGAAGCAAGCAATAAAACTTCAACTACCTTGACACCAACGGAGGAGACTGAAATCAGAGGCCCAATTCCCAAGAAATACTAACGGCAATCCTTTGCTTACCTATTCTTCATATCTTTGAAAATCTCTCTCCTGTTATAGGAGAAACATGTAAGGAACCTTACAGCCTCACAGGCTTTGCTACATGTACTTTATTTTAAACATGCAGTGAAACTACTATGCATACTAAAATACGGATTCTTCTGGTATTAAGCAATATGTGCAAACCAGTTTTTACATCAAGATGGACTAATTTGGTTTCAACTAATCAAGTTTTTGCACTCTGTTTGCCTTCTTTGGTCTTACCTTTATATTCATTTCTATTAAGAGGAATATTTCGTGAACTAGAGATATTAATTCTCTTTCCAATTCAAAAGTTTTTCCTATATATTTATTTTTCTTTTTTCCACCCTGAAGTTTCCCCACCTCAGCATCCTCCCCAGAAACTATGGCCATACCTACACTATCTTTTAGAAAAGAAGTTTTAAGAGTATTGCAATTCAAATAATCATTTAGCTAGTTACAAAAAAAAAAACAAAACAACTTTTGAGCATTATACTCCACAAACTATCATCACAGGAAAAAATCATAATGGCTGTGTCAGAAGAATATAATTCTAGAAGCACTGCCCAGAATCCATTACAAAAGGAAATTAACAATAATAATATTTATCTTCTTCTCAACAATATTGGATATACTTGAAACAGGTAAGTCAAAGACCATCAAAAACTCACAGTATGCCAAATGCATTTTACTGCTCAGATTAAAGAAACTAAGGAACCTGAGCTGCTGAGTGTCATTTGTTCCATATGATTATACCTACACATTAATGGTATTGCAAAATTGTATTCCCATAAATTACTGGAAGTATGATGCTTTATAGCTTTTTAGATCAAGTTTCTGAAGATTCTGAAACTAAGTATTGAAAACCTACACAAACTAAAAACACTTAAGATGATAGCAGAACATAACAGATGGCTAGAGACAGCCAACAGACTCAGACACACACTAAACTCCATAAATAAAAGCGTGTGCTAATGAACACCTTATTTTAGAAAATATGTATGTACTTGAGTACAACCTGTAGCTATGTCACTCCTTTGAGAGCAATTTGATAGTTTTTAAATGCCTTTCTATTTAAAAAAAAAGAAAAAAAAGAAGATCTATTTATGATGGTCACAGGCACTGGATGCTGGTAGAACTCAAGAAAAACCACTGCATACCACCACCCCCCCAGGGTCTGTCCAGTTCATTTGACTGGGAAAATAAATATGCAAGGACTCTGTGAAAAGAGAAGCACAGCAAAAGATGAAAATAGAATAAATAAAAATAAAAGTTAAACCAGTTATAGAACAGGAAAATAATTTTGTCAGATCTGCAACCCCATGCAAACCAAATAATTTAACCCAAGAATTCCTGCTTGAAGTTGTTTTCTCATTAAATGACAGGACATTTTTAGAAAGAGCTCTGAATTTGTTTTAAAGGCTTAAACTGATAACGGAATCCACCATAACCCAATTTCTCCAATGACTCATGTGAAAAACTTGTACCCTTTCTTGGTTTGAATGTATCGAGTTGCAGCTCTCAAACTGACAGAAAAAGGAAAAAAGAGATAGCTTAGAAAACGGTAAGTGGCTATTAAAAGTACATGTACACCCCACTCATGCACAGACACATACACTGACTCCAGGTGGACAAACACATTGTACGTGCTTTCAGAGATTTAACATCTTAATAACCGAGGTTTGGAGCAAGTCTTCACTACGTTTTTAGCTGCTGAATGATCTCTAAACTACTAAAAAACAAAGTACAAGATGCTAATTTTAAATTATTTCCTGTTGTTACTAGAATCAGTATATAGAATGTGAAGGGCAACTATAATTTCCTTGTAACAAACTTTGAAAGTTAAACCAGCAAAATATTTCTATCTTTTATTTCCATCTAAAGCTAAAAACTAACAGTTTGCGGTTTCTTGTTTAAATTCTTGCAATTTCTTATTTTACAGCATAGCTCACTAAGTAGCATCAATATTAGCCTTTCCTTCACAGAGCTCTCCAATTCTAAATGTAATTTCTAGGTCCAGATTTCACAAATGACTTCACTTCTCAAAGGTCTGATCATGTGCAAACAAACATGCAGCTCCCTCTGACTTCATGCAAAGTTTGACAGGAACTTTACTTACCAAGTGCCACTTCTCTGATGTGATTATCTTCAAAGTTTCTTACTCCTGGGTCTCAACTCAAGATTGGCAGAACCCTCCTAGTTCTCACTGTTTTTTTGACACTTGAAGCTAGCATTTGCAAGGTAGAGCCTCCAAATGGCTGCTGAATAGGCCACCATCAGCCAAAAGCCTGCTGAGTATAAATGTTGTTTGCCAAACATTCTATTCGGTACTTCCAAATTTGCAGAAGACAGAGCTACCAAAGGGAAATAGCATTCAGGAGCTAAAACTCACCCTAAGAAATTTAAAACAGTATACAAGATAATCACCACTAGGGAAGGACACTCCTAGAGTAGCAACAAAACCAGAACAAACCAAAAAGAAAAAACAGTGGTCAATAAATGAGAATTCTACAAGCTATGTCCCTACAAAAGTGATTTACAGGCATGTAAATTTCACCTTCTATCTAGATAATGCCTGTGAATAATCCTGCTCTTCTGATGCTTCAGCAGAAGGATGTTTCAAAGGAAAAATAACTAGAAACTGTGAATGCTGAAGCAACTGGAAGGATACAGCTACTCACTTAATGATGCAAGACCACCACAAGCACAGCTAGCAATTGCCATTTTTCAGACACAAGATGAGAAAAACCAAGATCATCAAAACATCAAACAACTTGCAATCTTGTAAAAGGAAAAACCATCTTCTCTACTCCTGAATTCCATACTACAGAATTGCTTTGGACACAAAGAGGGTTTTTTTTTCTCTAAAACAGCAACAAAAAAATAGTAGCAGATGCAGAAGTAATTTTTTTTTACCCCCACAAGCTTCAAGAACAGCAATGAAGCCTTATTTTTGTTGAAGACGTTACCTCATTATTTTAAACGAGTCAGGTGATAATTGGAAGTATACTTTTACTTTGAAAGACATTTTAGTCTGCATAGGTAAGTAAGTCACAATGTAATAATCAAATCATGACTTTAAGCTATTTAAAAGCTGGTAGATTTGTACTTATGACAGAAAAACAATCACTATTTCAAATTCTAGTGAGAGAGCTGTCCAAGTTAATGCATATACATTCTAGAAGAAAAATCAATTGTTTACAGGATCTGAACAGCTGGTTTTTTTACCCCTACAAACAGCTGAGAAGGCAAAGGCCCATGACACATTTAAAGTCTACCTTGTTTTTCAGATATATACATACACTGAATGCTAACACACTTTGAGACTGTAATCATTATAGGTGACTGGAATTTTGAAGAGAGCTCCATCTTGACTCTCAAATCACTGAAAGCAATTTTGAAACTGCCACCCTCTACCTCTGAGATATTTAAGTTCTGGTTCCAGAAAAGAAATCCGATTAATACATCGAAAAGATACAATGTGCCCGAAGTAATTGCCAGTACATTTATTGTTAGCTCAGAAACAACTGCTTTGAAGTAAGTGTAATATGCACTAAAAGCTCATTATAAATATTAATAGAAAACTGCAATATTCAGTCTTTCTATATAGCTTTTAGAAATCTCAAGCAAATTAAGATATGCATTTATTAAGTCATCCCAAAAGCAGGATCCACAATGTAATAACATTAACTCAGATAGTTATGTCAGAAAACAAATACTAATTCAAGGATAAGGCTTCCTCCAGAGGACTAAGTGTGGGTGAAAAAAAACCCCTGAAAATCTCAAAACCAAAAAATCATCTTTAGAGGAGTTTGGCAACATTCAAAAGAATCTTTTGCAACAGAGCTACTGACATGGCTTTCAAATGAGTTCTGGACATAGAATCTCAAGTTCACAGCATCTATGCCATTCTACTGCAACAAAATGAAAAAGTGTTGACACTTCTTACTATGCAGTCAGTAATACTGGAAGGTAGAAATTACAAAAATTTTGGTACATCAGAATCAATTTGCAAAAGTCATTTTTCAATTTACATAAGCCTCTCCAGTAAGGTGTTTCAGAAGTGTCAAGTCCCATATGGAATGGACATGGGAGACTTCACTGTACTATATTCACAATTGCCAAAATAGCTCCTTGCACGTATATTTGTCCTCATATAAGGAAAACCAAGTAAATGTCTTGACTGTATTCGACTAGGACTTACGGAAACATTGGGGCTTCACCTTTTTCCACAGGGATACATAAAACAGGGCAGAAGCACAAGAAATACTGGAATGGAATCTGAAAATGAGGAGCCTGCCAATGGGAATCTCTACTTTTGGTTTCCATTTCATACTTATTCCCAGTTTGAAAGGTTCTTTCACACCTATTGTAAAAAAACACTCTTTACTGGAATTTTTTAATGAAACTCATTCAATGGGTATGTTTAAGCTTTTGAAACAGTTTAATTCAATCACCACAATGCAGGCAATAGGATAGCCATGAGCACCAGTATAAAGCAGTTCATCAACACCAACATGCTCAGACGTCTTCCAATAAGGAGAGTTCTGAGGCTGATTGCTTCTACTGACCTTTAGGACAGAAGTGCTAGGCAAGAGATAAGCAAATTCCCATTACCTTATACACGTCTACATTTACTAATTAGTGACAGAAGAGGACTACCTCAATGCTTCACTACAGCTTTTGTGATCACAAGCAAATGAAGATTATGGAACGTATTTAATACGTTAAATCAGTATGTATCTGTGTTTAGTTTGAGCACCTGGATCACAAAGGGGAAAACTGCAGATCTCCATCAGGAGATTGGAGAGGACATCAGTTCTAACATATGGGCAATAAAACTTCTGACTGCTTTGAGCTACCTGCCTCAGCCTCTTTTGCAGAGGATTTTAATTTACATGATCAGCTAATTCCAAGTATCAAATCACTAGTCACACTGAAGGAAAATATTTGATAGAAGCTTTTTGTGGCTAGGGTGAGATAGTTCAACTATGAAACAAAGTCACCTGTCACAGTATGGAGGAGGGTGCATAAGGCCTAAGTGAGCTTTATCCAACCCAAACAAGGCAGTCCTATGCAACTCTTCTCGTTGTTCTAGGCTAAGTGTGTGCTGGATTTACAAGTGTGTCCCAGAAATCTCCAGGAGGAGCTGACAGCCTCTCCATTTTCTTAAGCACTCAAGGCAACGTCAGCAAACATAGCCAGCACCTCAGGATAGAGAAACACGTTCAGACAGATGGTAGGACAAATATGGTCAGTTTTAAAGAACAGTTCTGCTGAGTGATCAGGGCTTGAAGCCAGTAAGTTACTTTCCTTCCTCCTTAGGTATCATGCCTGAAACACAGAAAGGAAGGAAGAGAAAGAAATCAAGGAAGACACCAGCTCACAAGTAACAAGCGCAAGAAGAGGCAACAAATGTTGCAAGATAAAGTCACACAGCACAATGATGAGTCAAGAATGGCAGTGAGGTAGCACCAGGTGTCCGAGGTAAAGGCCTCGAAAAATGATGACAATTTATTGAACAGAAAACAGATTTGGAACTAATAAATAGCCCTTAGACACTGACTGAAAATCTGCACAATAAACAGGAACAACCTGCATCAAAACCACTAAAGGAAAAAAGCTAGGTTGTTTGGAACACAGCATTTAAACTCGGTCACAGGCACCACGATAGCCACAAGAGGTCTTGCTTCTGCTCTGTTCTCACAAATGCTCTTTCAAGAGTCAACACACTGCAAGAGCACGGATATTCTGCTAGTCTCAGTGGTTGAGTCCAAGGAGTGAGAGAAACATTTAATGAAGTCTTTTAAAGAACTTACACTAAGAAACAGTAAAATGATAGATACTGCTGAAACCTGTGCGAGCCCTTCACAACTGGATAAATTAAAAGCATGAACATCTATTTTGAAGAAATCTTAAAAAAAAAAAACCAACCACCTGCCACTTGCTTTCTAAAACTCCTTTAGCTTCCTAAAATATAATTTTCAGTGATGTTATAGAGACTTATTTGATGAACCATGTTTAAATTGTTTCTGTTTCTACTACATCCCTATTAAATACCTGTCTGGTGATCGTCTTGACCAACGTCCTCTGTCAGATTCTGCAAGAGAGTACGAATGATACAGTTAAACAAGATGGTGTTCTTCATTGTTCAGTAATCTTTTTAACCTTTATTTGATAGTAATATTAATTACTTAAGGAGCATCTAATTAAGACTGCAGAGCATTTATGTTTTCAGTTCATATTTACCTAAAAAACTACCATTCCAAATTTATGTAGTAAGTTCAAGGATAATCTTTAAATAATTTGGAAAATATTTTAATTCTTTAATCAAAAACATAAAAATTCCATTATTGAATGCAACATTAGAAAGACTGAATTTACCATTTACCACAGAAATGGTCTTGCTTAAGGATAAACACACAAATGTGTTCCAAAGAAAACCGATTAAAATCCACGTGAAATCTTGGAAATGAGTTACCCCTTTTTTATAGGTACTGTCTTTTCCAACAAATTTGCAGTGTACTAACAGAAGCCATATTGGGACTTCTGGCTACAGCTACAATAAAACAAATGTAAACACACAGCAAACAAGCAGAAACAGTCTTCAAAAAAATCTTGTTCCACTCTTTGCATGGTTGCAAGATTGCACATACAATGTTTTCCACAAGAACTGCAAGAAACTGGCTAATTATACCGATTACCATCATTTGCTATATCTAGAAAAGCTGCTTTTATGGAGACAACATCTAAATCCAATGTTGCAGTGAATGGTGCTTAAATGCCATGCTGACCCCCAGAGCACAACTTTTCAGTTGGTACTAACACTTATTCTCTCTTAACAGACTCAAACCCAACAGCCTCTCACACAAGAGGGCAGTCCTAGTTTTTACAACTGTAATCACTTCATGATTTCAGTCACAAAACATTCCAGACCAAAGCCCTAGCTATTCTGCTGGGAGAAAACAGCAAGTCATTACCAGCCTATTGAGGGTGTGGTAAATCTTGTGAATATTTGCCAGTGTTGATAGGTGAGAATTCAGTTGAAAATCTAGAAGGGGGAGGAAAAAAGAAAAAAGGTTTTAAATCTCTGATTTCCAGCTGGAGCAACCCAAATCTTAGTATGTTCCCATCATTTAATAAAACCAACACATTACTGTAAAATAAAAGCCATCCCAACACTTTTGCAGCAACAAGATTTTCAACGCCGAGTGCAATCAATACCTAAAATTTGCAAAAGATGTCCTACATATGCATTTTTCCTAAGGCATGGATGACCCACAGCAAAACAGAACTATAGATAAACACAAAATTGTATTAATAAAAAAATATTTGGAACTTTTTTCCTTTAAGCTGAGTATCATTACAGTTTCCATGCTACCCAGTCCTCCTGTTCCATAACCGATTTAAGTACCATGCCACTTTCTAAAGTCATTCCTAAAAATGGAATGATAGTTAAATTATCTTTTTCTTATACAAACACAAACATAGTTGCCTTTATACTAACTTGCTTGCAAAACTAAGTGACTGGTATACACTTACATAACATGAAACATGACTTTAGTATAATGAAGCAAAGGTCATGATACAGCAGGTGTTAAGACCAAAGCCAATAAAAGCAAAAATTAAATACTCTAGACTCTACATGAAAGAAGCTATAGCATAAATATTAACTTTGTTCTATGTTCCAATAATAAAACACACAAGTTTGCTTCAGTTGCAAAAACTTGATTTTTCTCTACTATTTTAAATTCCTTCTCTATGCTAGAAAAGTGATGAGGATAAAACTGGACAATAAGTAATTCATAAAAAAAGACCAATGGTGAACCAACCAGACAGCATACAAATCAACAAGAAACTCAGAAGCTGGAGACAGAGCAGATGACAGTGATCAAAGACAGCCAACCACTATACAATATCTCCATTTAAACTAAAAGTCAACTAGCTACCCCTCTAGAACTCCTGTGCAAAACCACTAATTAAAGACATGTACTGTATGACAAGTGAAGTATTTCAAGCACAATTCCATACACAAAAAGCTGTATGTGTGTAGTGTTACCACCCAGTTAATGCATGAAGGCATTTCTACTAGGAGACATTTGATGTGGCTTTGCCCAGGAGCTGATACGAGATATAAGTAAGGTCAAAAATGTAATTCCCATCTTTCCATCCCTCGCATTTCAAATGAATGCTCTCAAAATACACTTAAGATGACCCAGAATCTACAGATAAACAAAGTCATCATTAAACATCAGAACCCCAGGTCAGTGAACCACACTGCTATGAAGTTAAAAAGTGGATCTGAAGAAACCACCTGCTGCAAGCGTACTTGTTACACGCATCGCTATTGAATTCTCTTGTCACAATGAATAAAAAAACAACTCAAAAGACACCTTTAAGAATTGTCTATTTCATTTATTATGTTAGTAGGAGAGTAACTTCACTAATTGCTATGTATTTCTTAATGTGTTGTCTGCAATCCACCACCACAGCAACACAATTCCTGTAGGTCAGAACTGCCAAAGATGTGGTTTCCAACTTTAGCTATACTTATCTATATTAAGGCAAAGACTATCCATATCTTATTACAAAGACACGACAGGAAGATCTTGCACCTCCAACAGAGAGCTAGATTTGTTCCTGCACTAAATCCTCAGTAAATTCCATTTCTGCTAGTCACATACTGAGCACAATCATTCTGAAAAAAAAAAACAAAAAAACTCCAAACAACCACGAGTTTCTCAGCCAACCTTCAATTCAAGACAAAGGAATTTAACAACCAAAGGGGGAAGAGGGGGAACATAAGAGCCATTCTGAGAAGGGCAAGATTAAAAGGTAAGATATATTTTGTTAACTGTCAGAGCTTTCTAGAATATTAAATTTAAAGTTTCCCTTGCTGTTCAGCCCAAAATCTATGAAGAACATGAGTCTTTAGAGAAATCAGTTACACCAGGAAGTAACAAGCTGAGAACACTGAGGAAATATTTTATTCTAAACTAGTATTAATTTTAGATGGTGCTCTAGAAAACAATGTATTTTTTTTTTTTAAAATAGGATTATGTATTAGGTACCACCTTTGAAATAAAACATTCCAAGGCACTTCAAAACGTATCATTCATACCAGTGTGTTTCACACATCCACTGGAAATACGCTTACAATTCTAAGCCGTTACCTCAAAAACAGGTTACATAACTATGATGGACTTAGAGGGGTTACACAAATATTTTACAGCTCTTATACAACAAGCATCACACCTTAGCTCCACAAAGACTGGTTTATCCACATGAATACAGAGGACCAGAGTCCAGTTTTCTCTCTTCCACAGGGGAAGCTTGCAAAAATAGGGAAAACACATAAAACGGGCTTCTTCTACAGTAACTGGTATAAAAGCAAATATGGGCAGCAGCCAATTAAGGACGTGAAATTACAGCTCAGGTCACCTTCTGAACTGGTCACAGTGTTTGCTATATGTATATTACAAGGAAGATACACAATATATCCTATGCCACCGAAAAGGCATGTTTTGGGGAAAAAAAAAAGGTTCTGAAGAAACCAAAGCAAAAAATACAACCTCCCATGCTCAAATAACACCGTCTTGAAGATGAGCAAAGGGACAATGGTGCAGGCAACACCACAAGCACGCGATCCAACAGCTGGCTGCAGTTGGCCACGTCAGGAACATCCACTCTCCCCTCCACCTCACCAACTTGCACACGTGCTCAAGCAGCTTCCAAGCCATGCCAAGCTATCCCCCAGGGTCAGCCCACCACCCCAGGAACCTCATCCAAAAAAATACAGACACCAATATTTAGCTTTTTTTCCTACAGAGAAAGTGTTTTCTAGCAAAGTACCACACAGCTTCTTGATCTAGGATCAGAAGAAGGAAACCTGCATGCTTCATGAATACTAAAAAGAGACATGCTGAAATGTTTGCTAAGGCTTTAGGAGGTGTATGTCAAACAAGTGTACATCTTTTGTTGATTAAATTATTTTTCATGCAGATGTTAGCTTATCTTTAGCAAGGATGGGAGCAACAAAAATTCCAAATGGTATTAATTACTTTGCAATAATTCAGAATGTAACAGCTAAAGAAAAAAAACAACTGAGTAAAATAATTGCAAATCTAGAATCTAGAAAGGAAATGCCAGAGTCAACCTAATACCATGGAATTTAAACTTTCTCTGTAGTTTATCATTAACACTTAAGTGTTAAGTCTGAGTTAGTCAGTTAGTCATGATCCTATATAATCTATATGTAAAAAGCAAACAGTTAAAAAATAACTTTTAAAATATTGTAGATTAAGGCTTACACTATGGATCTGATAGTTATGGAGAGGCAAGAGAAACAGCAGCTAGCTGGGCTTACTTCCATAACAAACTAGACAAAAATCATTCCACATTCCCTATTACAACAAACACAGGAAATACAAGGAACAAACAAAAAACTCAATATATCTTAAAAATAAGCAAATGATACAGGTGAATGTAACTTGAATACTTTCCCATCTGAAACAAAAAAACTTTACAGGTCAACTTTTTATTGGAGGGAACAATGTGTTGCCAAGCTATTAAAATGAAACCACCAATAAATACCTAAGAAAAAAAAAAAAAGTATTTCTGCCTATATGTCTACTCGCATACAGATATGTACCTGCCTGAACTAGAAGTTTAACTTGGTACCTGCCGTCAGAATTACCACTTCAAAGCCTGGACAAAACAGGGCTAATGGGTACACCACCATTAACTAAAAACTTAGTAACAAGTTAGCAACAGTACTAAACCAGATCAGCAGCTGACTCCAAGTTTCCTTTATAAGCTCCTAGACTATCTTTTGGAGCAAACAGAAAATCTCACAGTAACAGTAGGTCTAAAAATATTTATCCTAGACAGAGATGCCACATAAAAGCTATGGATACAGATCTGTACTAAAAATTAAGTATGGAAGTAGTCATAGTAGTAATATTTATTACTACAAAGATGTATCTGACTCAGTACAAATACTGTGGGTAAATTTCTGCAATCTTCTAAAAAAAAATTAGATAGAAAACACATACTAGGCAGTCACATTCCTGAAAATGAAAAAGAAATGTTTACGCTTTTGCTTTTATGTAATTGGTTTCCTTGGTTTCAAATAACAGAAATGGAGAAAACTTGTAGTAGTAGTGGAAATAATAGTTCAAAGTACCATCTTCTTAATTAGTTTATTTAAAACTTATCAAAAAGAGACTCATTTCATCTTCTATGAACTACACCATTTCATGCTCTGTAGCCTACTTGCAGAATTATCCTCACATTAAGGCAATTTATATTGGTTAATGAACTTAGAAGTTCAGATCTGAAACCTACATTGGGTGAAAGCCTTCAATGCTTCTGTTCAGGAAGCAGAATTTCTATATTCATTACTAAATGCAGAAAACAAAAGAAAAATGAGCATCACTTTTATTTGCATTTACACAAAAAACATCACAACACACCTAAAAACTCGAATTCCCAAAGTTTAGTAGAGAGCAGCTGGGAGCTGACTCTGCATTAAGGATTCATTTCCAGTGTGGGTGTAGCTGAACGTGCGCAGGCATTGACCCCTTTTTTGCAGGGGCTGCCTGTACAAGATCCCCCTCTCCCAGCCTCTAATGCCAGGACAAGAAAGGGGAGGCTGAGAAGAACAGGCTTGAAAAGCAGGGTCTCACCTGATTTGGCAGAGTTGAAGACAGGGCATGATTCAGAAAGTCAGCAAAATAGAAGTGAATTCCAGCCTGGATGGTGAGGACGTGCAAGTAAATGGAAAGAGAAGCGGGAAGATCCACCGCAGCTTGAGGAGTGAGAGGTCCTACCCATTAGAGCTACGGTATCAGAGACACAGTGCTGCAGGACACATCTCCTGCATGGATGCATGCAGAGCCACACCGAGCTCACAGCTACTGCTGCCACCAGCACAACCCAAACCCACAGCTGCAAATCTGCCTACATTTTCCAAACACAACAGTCTAAAATGTTCTGAAGCACAAGAGTGATTTAAGATATTAAAAAAACCCAACACTGATCTACAAAAAAACCCAAGCAAGAAAACATGGTTGAAATGACAACACACTAAAAAAAACACTTAGCATTTTAAGGTACACATTCACATTCCACACTAACATTTGGTATTACCACATTGTCATCACTCACTTTATTTGAAACAAAATATTTTAAAACTACTGTATGCTACATAGATAGGGAAAAGCAATAATTTTTTTCTTCCCCAAGAGAACAAATCCTTATTCTACCTAGACATTAAGAAAATACCCCAATCTGGAAGCTTGTTGACAAAAAGAGCTGCTGCAGTTTAAAGTTCACTGGGAAATTCAGAGCAATTTAAGCAGTGCAGAAGTTGTGTAACTGTTAACTTCAGTTTGAATGCATTTCCATTTACCTTAAATTGTCTTTAAACAAGTAAGAGCTGTGCTAACATATGCTATACTAACAGACAGCTTTAAAAACCCTGCACACAGGCTCATGAAGGGGGTTAGAGTTTGGTTTGGTTTTGGACAGGAGTGGTTTTGGCTGGTTTATTTATAGAAAAAAATCTAACACTAAGTGTATTTCTGGAGCAAAATGTCTGTTTCTGTTGCTGCAAATACCACTTGTGTACCTACTAAATGTATTTGATAAGCATTTCTAATGGAGATTCTTGCTGGAATATAATAAAGCTGGAGTGACCAGCTGCAGCTGGAAAAGAATGAGTAAAAGCAGTGGATAATTAGACCTAATTTAAATCTATTTCTAAAGCATGTATTACCAAATCAAACAGCATTTCAGTGATTTCACGTTACTCAGACTGTGAACAGACATTCTTCCAGTCTACAATTTCAGAACATAGGAAACTGAGCTACAAACCGATTTTACACCCAATTGATGCAAAATGCTCATCCAGTCCAACTCTTACTCTACCATCAAATTAATTCAAAAAAGCGTCAGTGAGCTAATTTTGCATCATCTGCTGTTAATGCTCGAGTTGTTTGCCAGTGCTGCTCTTAGCTTCATGCCAGATTAGGTGTCATCTGTCATCCTACAAAGGGCATAAAGCTAATAAAAACTTTGTATCTTGTGCTATAGCTAATTCAGCAGAAATGCAACCCTGTCAAGTGCGCACTGCTAGGGTATCCACACCACGCAGATCTGGTGTACATCACGATGGGTCTGCAACAGCCTGGGAACAGCTATGCCAGTCAAAAGCTTTACTGTCCCAGCTGTTTGCTGCTTGCTCTCTGCCAAAAGTTACAGAATCCAGAGCTCTGCCAGCAGCACAGGTCACTCCCTAATCCCCTTCAGAAAAAAAAACAATTCAACCCTGTCAGTTTAG